TATTATTTCTTCAAGGTTCTTCACATACGTACACCTTAAGAGATATCAAGTAAGTGTAACATGTTCTCAAAAAATTAGGGTTGGCACGCAGAAGAATTTTGAGTCAGAGATTTTGCTGGTTTTGGCACACACTCACAAAAAGTTTGCCCACCCCTGCTCTATCCACTGAGCCAAACCGGTTAGGGCTTTTAATTGATTTTTCGAGAAAGAGGAAGGGAGAGGGAGAGAGAGAGATATCCATATGAGGGGGAAACATTGATTGGCTTCCTCCTACACAATCTCTACCGAGAATGGAGCCATCAACCCCGGGCATGTGTCTTGACCAGGGGAATCGAACAGCAACCTTTGAGTGCTCGGGACAACACCCAACCGAGCGACACTGGTCGGGGCAGAACAGTATATATTTAACGTGTACAATGTGATGATTCTGAGTATGTATAGAGTGTGAAATAATTGCCATAGTCAAGTGAATGAACATTTCCATCACCTGATATAATAACTTTTTAAGAAAAGAAGAACGCTTAACATATACTCTCCCAGTAAGTTTTAAGTGTAAAGTATATTATTAACTGCAAGTTGTCACCACTTTTTACATTAGACCCTCAGAACTTACCTATCTTATAACTGAAGGTTTGTACCTTTTGGCCAATAGCTCCCCATTTCCTTGGTTGCCTGGTCCTGACATTCTATTCTGTTTGTAGGAGTTTTAACTACTTTTTAGTTTAGATTCCACACCTAAGTGATATCATATAGTATTTATCTTTCTGTGACTGGCTTATTTCATGTAGCATAATGCCCACAAGATTCATTTTCTTCATTTCTTTTTTCTTCCTTTGTTTTATTTATTTTGGTGGGGTTGGGATGAGCTTCTACTTTTTAATGGCTGAATAATATTTTTAGGGTGTGTGTGTTTCCCATCCGTTTTTGTTTCTTTTTTACTTAGTTATTCATGGGTGGACAGTTACGTTGTTCCCATATCTTGGGTATTGTGTATAAGAATGGTGCAGTGAACATGAGATTGCAGATAGGTGTTCCACATTCTGATTTCATTTTCTTCCTATACAGTGGGACCTTGACTTACGAGTGTCCCGACTAACGAGTTTTTTGAGATACCAGCTTTCTCTTGGCCAGTTTTTTGCATTGAGTTGACAGAGTAATTTGAGTTAACAAGCTCCTTAACGAGCTCGGTCTCGGAACAAATTAAACTGGTAAGTCAAGGCCCCACTGTATATGCCAAGAAGTAGGTTTGCTGGCTTATACAGTAGTTCTACTTTGCATTTTTTGAGGTTTTTTTAAAATATATATATTTTTATTGACTTCATGAGGAAGGGAGAGGAAGAGAGAGACAGAAACATCAATTATGAGAGAGAATCACCGATTGGCTGCCTCCCGCACATCTCCTAGTGGGGATCAAGCCCACAACCCGGGCATGTGCCCTTGACCGGAATCGAACCTGGGACCCGTCAGTCCCCAGGCTGACGCTCTATCCACTGAACCAAACAGCCAGGGTTTTGGAGATATTTTTATGCTCTTTTTCTTAGGCAAGCAAAAGAAACAAAAGGCATCAATCAGAAAATAAATAAAACTGTTTACAGAACACAAGATAAAATAAAGGCATAAGAATCTATATTCCTGCCCTAGCTGGTTTGGCTCACTGGATGAGCGTTGGCCTGTGTACTGAAAAGTCCCGGGTTCAATTTTGGACAAGGGCACATGCCTGGGCTGCAGGCTTGATCCCCAGTAGGGGGCATGCAGGAGGCAGCTGATCAATGATTCTCTGTCATCATTGATGTTTCTATGTCTCTCTCCCTCTCCCTTCCTCTCTGAAGTCAATAAAAATATATTTTAAAAAAAAAGAATCTATATTCCCACCGACAGTGTACAAGTGTTTGCGTCTCTCTGCAGGTTCACTAACACTGCTTGTCTTTTTGGTGATAGCCCTCCTCACATGTATGGGGCAATATGTCATTGTTTGAATTTACACTTCCCTGATGATGCGTGAGGAAGAGCAGTTCATAAATATGATCTGTTAGGTACTTAATGAGTTTCTTTGCACTTATTTTAATCAGATTGTTCTTTTGCTTTGATGTACGAGTACCTTATATTTTGAAAATATTAACCCCCTTATCAGATACATGGCTTGCAAATGTTTTCTCCCATTTTGTTGATTTTTTTTTTCTTTTCTGTGCACAAGCATTTTAGTTAGATGTAATTCCACTTGGTTACTTTAGATTTCTTTTCATCCTGTACTTTTGGGGCATATCCAAAAAAATCATTGCCAAGCCTATAATAAAAAAATATCCCCTTTTTCCAAGGGTTTTTACATTTCCATGTGTTACATTTAGCTTTTCCATCCATTTTGAGTTCATTCTTAATGGTGAAAGGCGTCCGGTTTCATATTTTTGCAATTAGGTATCCAGTATTCAGAATATTATTGAAAATAGTATTTTTCCCTGACGTTAGAGCAACGATGGCGAACCTATTACATGCGTGTCAGAGGTGACACGTGGTGTAGCTCATGCGTTAGAGCAATGATGGCGAACCTATTACATGCATGTCAGAGGTGACACGCGAACTCATTTTTGTGGTTGATTTTTCTTTGTTAAATGGCATTTAAATATATAAAATAAATATCAAAAATATAAATCTTTGTTTTACTATGGTTGCAAATATCAAAAAATTTCCATATGTGACACAGCACCAAAGTTAAGTTAGGGGTTTTCAAAATGCTGACACGCCGAGCTCAAAAGGTTCGCCATCACTGGGTTAGAGTGTCAGCCTGAGTACTGACACTCTAGGGCAGTTACCTGGTTTGGAGGTTTGATCCCCTGCCCCAGTTGAGATGTGTGCAGAAGGCAACCAATTGATCTCTTTCACAGTGATGTTTCTCTCCCTTTCTCTCTCCCCATACTTCCCTCCCTTCCACTCTGTAAAAATCAATGGAAAAATATCTTCAGATGAGGATTAACAACAAAAAAAGTACTACCTCCCCCCCCTCCCCCCATTGTGTGTTCTTGGTGCCTTGTTAAGGATTAGTTGACTGTATATGCATGGGACTAGTTAATGAGCTCTTTTAAAAAAAAATTATTTTTTATTGA